CACACACACACACACACACACACACACACACACACACAAAGAAAAACAAGAAACTGGTTCCCTGGCTCTGGGGCTGCCGCATTCCAGTTGTATACTTTTTTCATGACTTGTTCAATATAAAAAAAGAAGTGCTGGGAATTCAGATTAAGAAAAAGAAACACTGGTCAGGTGTGGTGGGCACACCTGTGATCCTTGCACTTGAGAAGCTGAAGCACGAAGATTGCCACGGCCAGCTTGGGCTACATAGTGAATTCAAGGCCGGCCTCAACTACAGAGACCTTGCCTCAAAGAAAAGTAAAAGGCATGGACAAGAAGAAAGGTCTAGGACTGCACTGGGGAGGGAGATGACAAATATGTGGCCTCGTGTCATCGATGAGAAAACCAGCTGAGTCTTAGCATGGTTAAAAAAGCAAAAACAGGCCGGGAATTTAGCTCAGTGGCACTGTGCCAGCCTCACAAGTGCAAGGTCCTGAGTTTGATCCCTGGTACTGGAAAAACAAAAACAAAAAAACGTGTCACTTCCAGGACACCAGGCAGAGCTGCCTGTCACTAAGTCTTCTGAAACATCGCTCGTCTGAGAGCAGGCCATGCTGTCCATCCAAGGATGCACTCATTTAACCTGACCCGCAGGCCTTGCAGGCCCCATTTCACACCCTGATGCATATCTTAAGGATTTTTGTTTTGTTTTGTTTTGTTTTGTTTTTTGAGACAGGGTCTCACTGTATAGTCAAGACTGACCTGGAACTCAATATGTAGCCCAGGCTGGTCTCGAACTCACAGCGATACTCCTGCCTCAGCCTCCCAAGTGCTGGGATCATGCCCGGCCTGTTTTAAGGATTTTCAAGGAGCAAACCTTTGTCCAGGACAGCACTTGTTTCACAGCTTTTGAGCCCTGTGTCCACCCATACAGCTGCTTTTCCAGAGTTCTTGTAGCAGCTAACAAGTGGGCCAGCCATGTATCTGGGGGTCTGGTGCCCTCGGGGGCTGGGGATCTGTGCTCCTGGTTTTGGTCCTGTATCCCTGGGCCGGAGAGAGAGAGATGTGCAGCTTGCACACTTTTCGTGAGCGTGACAGGCAGGGCAGGAGAGGTCCTAGGTGGGTCACTTCTCAAGAGGCTGAGGACTGGGGGTACCCTGCTGTAGGCCCAGGTGCTGAACTGTTTACCTCCAGATTCCCAGGACTCTGGCTCTCTCTGCTTCTGCTTCCGGTGGCTGCTCATCTGGTTCAAGAGGGAATTCCCCTTCCCAGACATCCTCCGGCTGTGGGAGGTGGGCACGTTGAGGGGCGGCCCAGAGGAGGGAGACTGGGCTGGTTGGGGGCCGGAGGGTAGATGGGGGACTATGGGCTGATTGCTCCTGAGTCCCCAGGTGCTGTGGACGGGGCTTCCGGGTCCCAATCTGCACCTGCTGGTGGCCTGCGCCATCCTGGACATGGAGCGGGACACCCTCATGCTGTCGGGCTTTGGCTCCAACGAGATCCTGAAGGTGAGCTCCCCGCCCACACTAGCCGTGACGTTCGAGGCGGGACTGCAAGGTGTTACGGTCCCTTGCCCTGGCCTCTCCATGTCCGACCCGTCCTGTCCCCGCTGCCCGCCCGCAGCACATCAACGAGCTGACCATGAAGCTGAGCGTGGAGGACGTGTTGACGCGCGCCGAGGTGCTGTACCGGCAGCTCGCCGCCTGCCTGGTGAGTCCCGGTCCCTCCCTGCAGCCCCGCCCCGCGCCCAGGGCGTCTCTGACCCTGCTCGTCCCCAGGAGCTGCCCCACAACGTGCA